TTCAGGTTTTCAGTTCCAGTGATGAGAATGCCACTGATACAATAGCCGTTGAGAGACCTCTATGACCAATAAATAAGATGGCTAGAGTTCCTTTTGTATTTGAAGTAGTATGAAGAATTAATTTATCCATCTTCATTTATGGAAGAGGAAATTGGCATTAAGAGAAGGGCAGTGCTCAGGGTGAAATAGTTCAGGAGAAGCAGAAGGGCAGTGCTCAGGGTGAAATAGTTCAGGAGAAGCAGAGCTGGAAAGGACTGGATCTATGTGATGTAGAAGCTGAAATGTTTCTCTGCTTGGCCCTCCATTCCCATTCAGTAAACATGGAATATTTCTGGTGGATTAATTATAAACGAATGCAAGAAATGATAGCTTATGATACAAAATTTAATTTCTGGGAACAGAGAAGGCAGGTAAATTGAATTACCACAAGGAGTAATATGTTTGCACTGTAGCATTGTCAATTACAAAGAAAAGCTGTCTGCAAAAATGTTGAATAAAACCTACCAGCATCTTCAAAGTAACATCCTTGTGGGACAGTGTGACTTTGCTGAAGGCTGTGGAGCCGTGTCAGGCCAATTGTGGCTTATTTGAGGGTTGCAGATTGTGTAAGAATGTACCTGGGATGTGGACTGGAGAATGACCATGATTTAAATGGAAATGTGCCCCATATTGAGCCAAGTTCAAGGGAGGCATGGTGGTGCTTGCTTCTAACCCCAGCACACAGGACGCTGAAGCAAGAGCACCATGAGTTTCAGGTCAGGCTGGTATACGTAGCCAGTTCCAGGCTAGCCTGGAGTACATAACAAGACCCTATCTCAAAACCAAAAAATAACCAGAACAAAACAAAAAATAGACAAGTTCCTGTTCCAGTGATTTTTCTACCCAAAGTCACAAAATACCATGGTAGTCTACTTTACTTATTGAAAATCAAAATATATTTTATTTATTGTGTCAAGGTGGATAAGGATTAGATTTAAAAAGTTAAACTGGATGAGTTCTGTATGATAATGTCGATGATAAATAATTCAATTTTTGCTTTGAGTAAATGTTAAATTATACAGAAATGTGAGCTCTTTAAGTAGGTGATAATGACAAACTAAAAGGTGTTACATAGTTTAGACCAGTGAATGATGTTATGAGAAACCTAATCTTTATCCTTAGGAGTAAATACTTTTATAGTGATTATAAACCAAGAAATAAAGCTGTCCACACATTCATTTCTAATGCTATTATTAAACAGCCAGGTGACCATTCAGAAACGAGGGGAAATGATCTGTTATATGAAAAGCCTGATGGTTTAATTAAAAATGCCTTGAATATTTTTAAAAAAATAAGTTGACTATGTGAATGGCTTTTAAAGTGAGATTTGAAAAGAAAGTAAAATAGCCCATCAGTTGTACTACCTACCACATCTTAATCTTAAAGTCTTCATTTATTTAGTTCTACGTAATGAAAGAAGATTGCTAAAAAAATAAAAGAATTCAGAAAACATATAAAGCGACATTAATCTTTTATGCTTAAATACCTTTTGGAAATTAAATTTTTGTTACTTATTCTGATAATCACTATACCTGGGTGTGCCAATGTAGTACTCAGGGAAGCCGAAGCAGAAGGATGGTAAATTCAAATCAAGTTTGTACAATTCCGTGACTTAACACCCCATGTCAAATAAATAGATGGATAGATAGATAGATAGATAGGCTGGAATGTAGCTCAATGTTCATTGTGAAGATACTGATTAAATCCCTAGTTGAAAAAAAAATATTGTCACAAGGGAAAAATGCTTATGAGAATTGCTGACAATGTTACTTTTTCCCTTTGTCTTTCTTGTGTATCTGATGATTCCAGAAATTTTATGTGGTGTTATCTTGCTTTATTATTAGAAATAATGCACAGATCCCTTTATAGAGGTTTGATGAGCTAAAGTTATTCCATAATGGTTAAATTTAATTCCTATTTCATGCATATGTTCATAGATTTGTAATGTGCCTTCCATTTATCCAGGAAGTAAGAATTGATTTTTATTACATTTTTATTTTGTGCTAAGAGATATGCTAAGCAACTTGTTTCCATGAATTTCATTAATTTGCAAGGCCTTAAAGTATTGAAATTGCACAAACTCAAATAATTGAGGGGGTCTTAAGGTCAAGGTTCACAAAGTATAAGTACAATGTTAGCTTCCCAACTACCATACTAGATTTGTATAAATATATATTGGGTTCTAGTTCCTATAGATTCTCATATGCAGAGCACATAAATAGTTCTCAAGGTTTTCTGTTTTGCATAGATTTACTTTTATACAAGGATGTTAATAAATAATAATTCTTGCACTAATGGTTGTTGTAAACTCAGACATATAAAATACATGTAGAGGCAGTGTAAATCTTAGAGATCAGTCAGAATTTGTGTTGCCCAGTGATTCTTTAAAAAATAATTTTCAGGGGGCCGGGGATTTGCCTCAGTGGTTTTGCTGCCTGCCTCATAAGCACAAGGGCTAGAGTTCAATCCCCGGTACCAGAAAAAGAAATGTAAAGATCCATTTAGCTGATGGTATTGTTTTTAAAAGTTTGCATATTCTTTATAAAATGGCTGTTATGAAATGATTCACTTGAAAATTAAACCTGTTTGTTTCATTTTTGTACTTGTGCCTGTGGCAGTATTATGCATATAAAGCATATCCATAAAGGTTTCTTTATAACTTAGAAATAACCAAATAGTTTAATAAAACTGTCAACATTAGAATCACTGGGATGGCCGGGGATTTAGCTCACTGGTTTGGTGGCCTACCTTGCAAGCGCAAGGACCAGAGTTCAATCCCTGGTACCAAAAAAAAAAAAAAAATGAATAAACTGGGCTGTTGCAGGGCAAATTATAAATGTCTGTTTAGATGCAAATTGAAACATATCAATTCTTGTATGATGTTTACACATCTAAATATTTATACCTAGGGTTTGTTATTAGGTTAATTGTTTGAAACATAAAAAAATGTGAAGAGAATAAGCTCAGAATGCTTTTGTCAAATGGAAAATATATGATTAAAATTACCTTGGAATCTCTCACAGTAAAATAATAGTCATCATCATTTAGTTCTTATTAATGCTAAACATTGTGCTAACCATCTTGATTATTAACTAATTTCATACTTTTCTCATTTATTCATAATTATTTGTTAAATATCCATCATTTGTCATATAGTGTTCTCTGTGCTTGTAGTATGACAATAAAAGACACATTTCTTGCCTCCAAGGAATGAAGCTCCTGCTGAGCCTCAGAAAATTAAGGCATCGGGGACCATACTATCCCATTTTTATAGCTGAGAACTCTGAGGTTTCTGCAGGAAGTAAGCACTTGCTTAGATCACTTTGCAAAGCCATCATTCAATTCATATTGATCTGACTTCTGATTCCAAGCCCTTAACTACAGTACTATACTGAAAAGGACTTGTCTGAGTATATTAAAACACCATATCTAAACTATTTATTTGAAAATGTTAGGTAGGTGGCACAAAGGTTATAAAATATTTCATATAATAATGTATTATCTTTTGAGTGAGGCTTTAAATATCTCATCTGCAACTCATTTCTATTTTGTGCCTCTTGTATCTTTGTGTGTGAATGTTATGGACCCTCCCTATGTTTTCTGCTAGGATGACTTCAGCTATCTTCCTAACTCATTATGCTGGTCTGAGTGATAAAAAACACTGAATGATAGGAAGATCATTAAGTATATAGGAGGCTGCTTTTAAAAAGAATCAATTTAGGGCTGGGGATTTAGCTCAGTGGTTCCACCGCCTGCCTTGCAAATGCGAGAGTCTGAGTTCGATCCCCAGTCCCAAAAAGAATCAATTTAAAATAATTACTTTATAATTGTAAATTTTTGCTTAGTTGTAATTCAGTCATTTCAATAAGTAGATACATTCTCCATAAATAAGTAAACGTGCAATGTTCTAATATTTTTTCTCTTATAAAAATGACTTTTTTTCAGGCAAGTTTGATTTTTAAAAATTTTTAGAAGCATATATTTTTAAATTTTAAATTTAATTAGGAAAAATAATATGAAAAGTTTGTAATTCAGAATAAATTGTGTTTCCACTTTTAATTTTGTTATTTAGATGTTTTTGTGGAGAGAAAAGTAGTTTGAGTCACATGAGGATAATAGTCTCAACTGAGAAATTTTGTTTTACCACACCAACATTCTTGCAGTTTTTGTAACACGTACATTTCTTATTGCCTGCCTTATGGTTCTACTTGGACTCTTGCCAGTGTCATAAACGAAAAGACAAAAAAATGTGCAGTGAAGCTCCACGTGATGGTAGAACGGATAATTCCTTTTCAAGCTTTCCTGCTGAGAATGACTAGAAAATTTAAACTGCAAAAAATGTTATAACATCTTTAACAGTCATCATAGGGGAGGATTCATGGAAGAACAGGATTTGTCCAGTTCTGGAATTGTTTGAGAAGTGGTTTGAAAATATCTTTTGACCAGTATTTAGAATTGAGAGAAGGGAGGGTGGTAGATGTTTAGGGAGGTATGTTAAGAACAGAGATAAACTAAAAGTACTACCCTGCAGTAGTAATTGTAGACCAGTTTTGTATTCTCTCATTATCTAAAATTAGATTAAGTTAATCTTAAATTGCTAGTGACCCTTCCTCCTTGGATAAATTATAAGGCATGAAAGTATCATCCAGTGAAATTTGGTTCAAGTCTCACATGCAGGCATCAAACTGAAATTAAGATTAAAATTGATAAATTTAACACATTAGACACAGTTGAAAAGAGAATCAAATGTGGGATAGATCAGAAAAAAATCTAAAGTATAAGGTCAAAGAATGAAAATGACAGAGTAATCATATGAGACAGAGGTGATTTAGCAAGTATAGCTGCAATGTGATAAATATTGTGCAATAAAATAAGACTGAAATAACATCCAAAAAAAAAAAAAAGACTTAGAGCCAGAAAGCAAGAAAAAGACATTAAATTAGAGACTCAAGAACAGTGCAGTGCTCACTTTGGCAGCACAAATACTAAAATAAGAATGATACAGAGAAAATTAGCACGGCCCCTGCACATTGTAAATGTACTGTATACTTAAAAAGTACCAATACACTTAGTGGAAAAAAAAAAAGAATAGTGCAAACCCAAATAATATTCAAAGAAATTAAGTTTTATATTTTAAAACTCTCAGAACAAAGATAATATAAGCCGGTGTTAAAAGCAGCTAGAGAGTAAAGATGTGTGGTATTTGTTAAAAAAGTAAGATTATCAAGTAAGTTTTTAATAGAAATGTTAGAATCAAAATAGAGTGGAAAGACCTTTAAATAGGGAAGGAATATAAATATTAAATTATAATTTTATATTTAGCAAAGGTATAATTCATAAATTTAATAAAAGGAAGATGTTTTCAGAGAAAACTAAAAAATGAGAGAATTTATCACAAAGGGATTCATAGTAAAAGATATACTGCAGTGATTCCTCAGTAGGAAAATAAGCTTCTACAAAAGGAAAAAGTTACAAGAAGAAAATCACAATATAAAGAGAGGTAAAAATGTGGGAATATGTAGGTGCATCTTGATTTCATTGAGCAAGATTAGTAAAGCCTTGTTTGGTTCAGCACATTTTACAATATTTACAGAGTTCTTTAAATTGAGTTAAAAATAGAGTGGAATTTTAGAACTAAAGAGAAAAAGAAATAAAATATTCAAGAAAAATTTAGAAACATCAAGGGAAGAAGAAAATGGGAAAAACTGCATAACTATAAAATGGTAGTAAAATTAGAATATACTATATACACATTATACATAAATATATTAAATATTTGAATTGAAAGACAAAGATTCTCAGATTGGATAAAACAACAAAGTAATATGTAAAGTAGTATGTCAAAAAGAAAAACACGCAGTTTCATTGGTGAATTGTATGTTTGTGCAATGGACCAAATGTTTTTGTTACTCCCAAATTTTCATAATGAAATCCTAACTATTAAAGTGACACTTTGGAAAAGATGGTAGTACAGGTGGGCAAAGAGAATCAGAGTTCTTGTGATAGGGACTCTGTAGACATCCTTTGCCTTTTCTGTATTATGCAGATAGAGTGAAAAGATGTCCATTTGTGAACCAGAAAGCAAACTTGAATCTGCCAGTCCCATGACCTTAGATTCTCCAGCCTTCTGTGTATTAGAAATAAAAATATGTTATTTCTAAACCATGTAAGTATATGGTACTTGTATTTATGTTTTAGTACTCCACATGTCCTGATATTGTATAAGTTATTTCTCCATAAATGTGTCAAAAAATAAAGATGATTCAAAATAAAAGAAAGAAATGGCCGTACAGATGCTAAAACTGTTTATTAACTGTGTTAATGATGGGAGCTTTAGAATTTAATGGAGAAGAATAATCAGAGATATTGGTGGGAATACCAAAAAAGTCCTAATTCATCTAAAAGATATACTGTTTTTAAAATTGTATACAAGATTGAATATAGTATCAAAATATAAAACAATAATTCACAGGACTATAAGGAAAGAGCTCAAATTCACAAATACAGTGGAATTTTTTTTTATAACTTCCTCAGTAAGTCATAGAAAAAGCAGTGGTTACACGTATAATATTGAGTTAATAGTACCTGACATAATATTGCACAGGCTGATTGATGACAATTATAAATGTTTCTGAAGCAAAAGGCTTTTGTATTCAATTCATAGCTAACATGGAGAAAATAAATAATTACCATAAAATTCAGACATCTTTTAGAAATTGGCAATTAATTATTGGGAATGGGCATAAGGATTGAGTTTTAGCTTTTGAGCAAAGATCTGTTTCTTGATGATTACATATGTTTTGGTGGTAAATTTTCGTTCTGTATGTTTTTATTTACAGCCACATGTGAGCTGCTTTACAACCCACAGGGTTAAGGAAAATTCAGGTTCAGCATCTTTTTTGATTTCAGTTCATAGATTTTTGGGAGGGAGTGAGCCAGTAAAACTGCCTGCTATGATTCCAGAGCCCTGGTGAAGGTTACCTCCAGGTGTTGCAGCATGGCAAATTACTAGAATCAAGACATGCCATTCAGGTGTGCAAATCTGCAGACACATTTGCACAGTAGCTCTCCCAGAACTGCTGCTCTGGACAGAACTTTAAAAGACAGAGGGAGAGACAGAGGGAGGGTGAGTATGGGGGAAGAGAGAGGGAAAGGAGGAAAGAGGGAGCCACAAAGGCGTACATTCTGTCAGAAAAGGTCCTTACTCAGTTGCCGGCCACATGCTCCTGCCTGGTCTTCCTAAGTGGCCAACTCTAATGTATCATTTTGTAGAAATAACAGAGCCTTCAAAAGTGGAAATAATTGACTTCAGTCACCAATACTTATGTGATCACTAAATACTTTCCAAACTAATTAGGAAAGTTTCACTGTTAGCAACGCTTACGAAACAACAAAAACTGTTAGCAAAAGAAGCACACTGATTTTTTCTTAAGGTCAAATACACTAATCTGTTTACTATTATTTTCAAAATCTTAAAAATATTGTATTTTTAGCAGTATACCTTATTTCACTTAGTGCTATTAGGGTTTTATTTAAATTTTCTGTAATGAGCATATTTTAAATATTTGGTCAAGTTCCAGGAAGTACATTGGAGCTAATGGTAAAATTTATCCAGTACTCTCAGTTGTATATTACCAGCCTTTCCACTCTGGCATCACCTCTAAATCCAGGCCCTACTTTTTTACCACTGCGAATCTCTTGTGGCTATGAAGATATTTTTCCTGTATTTTATCTTGTAAGTTTTGAAAATCCCCAAATGATCTCCAGCATAAAAAATAATTTGTTTTGACAATTGTTACTTAGTTTCTGTTCAACGTTTTGCTGTACCTTGTATCAAATTCCTATTCATGATGTCTTTAATTTTAGAAACTGTTTTTCTCAGCTTCTTGTTTTTTTGCAGTTCTTAATGCGATGAAAATGGAATTTGTATAATAATCCAATACTATTTAATATACTTTTAAAATAATTCTTTCTATATACTGATTGTGAATATATAAATTCTGTGTTAGATTTCCTTTCCCTTTTCAAATTCCAGGAGACTCAGTCACATTATGGTACTAGTTATCACTGATTAGTAATAGCTTCCAAATTGAAATATATATATATGTTTGTGTGTGTGTGTGTGTATATATATATATATCCTACATAGATTTCAAAAGCCCCAGAAACAGAGGAACATAGCCTTTATTTGGTTATTTAGGGGTAGCCTCTTTCATTTATTCATCCCAGCATTTATTGTGTGTAGCATTATTGTTTTTTGTTTGTTTGTTTTTGAGACAGGGTCTCACTATGTAGTTGAGACTGACCTGGAACTCACTATGTAGCCCAGGCTGGTCTTGAACTCACAGCAATGCTCCTGCCTCAGCCTACAAGTGCTGGGATTACAGGTATGCGCCACCATACTGGCTGTGTGTACTATTATTGTTAGAGAATATGTGTCTAAGTCTTTATAACAATGAAGCAGAGTGTGATAAAGCATTTTCAGATATGAAGAAGTAATTTCAGTAAAGTAAGTGGTTTTAAAAATGTAGAAATCCCAAACTTTTTATTAACTATCATCAACAATCAGTAAAAGGAATATTTTTAAAAAGCCAAATACAGTTAAACTTATTGACATATTAAATTTTATCTATGTATTATATCTACAGCAAACTCATTGGTTCCTGTGTTCATCATTATTCTATTTATTAAAACTACTGATATAATAAATCTTACATTCTGATATCCTTTTCCCAATATTATCTTATGATGAAAATATTATACATTCAATGCCTTGAAAAAAATAGAAACAAAAGATATTTTTTATTGTGAAATTATTATGTATTTCTAACTCCTTAAAACTTTCTTAAAGTGTGTGTTCTTTATGGGTTTCTAAATACTTAAAGTAAAAAATTCTGAAAATGGGTGAAAACAAAGTCCATTTATATAAAAATTATTCAAACATGAATTGAAAGTCAAAAGTAAAAACAATCACACCCAAATGCAAATGGAAATGTTGGCACACTATATCAGTCTCATAAATTAGTAAAATTCAGGACATGTTAAACTTTTATGAGTATTTTTTATTATGTGAAAGTCTATGTCCTCAGGCCAGGGTTTAGCTCAGTGATGCCATGCCTGCCTGGGAAGTGCATGGTCTTGAGTTCAATCCAGGGCACAGAAAAAAAGAAATCTATGTTCTTAATATGGAACCCTCATTGCATAACTTGGAGTTTTCAAAAGTGATCAAGTATCAGAATCCTATGAGAATTTGTTAAACCCAGAGGTTTTTATATGTAGGTATGGACAAAGTGTTGGGAATCTGCATTTATGGCAAGTTCTTAGTTGATGCCCCTTGGAATATTACATATTGGGAATCATGAACAAATAATGCTAATACTACCTTTCACACTGTTTTAAACTATTGTACACGTTTCATGTGATACAGTTATAGAGACTGGAAGAAATTAAAAAGCAGAATTTGAAGTAACATTTGCTTAACATTATCTCTCACAAAATTTTTATTTAAACCTTGAACAAGATATTTGAACGTTTAAGATAAATCATTTACACCAAGCTTCAGGGACCAATTTTATTGCATTAATTCCTAAACTAACATGCTTACTGAAATATCACATACCAAGTCTCTTCACTGGAAATAACACTGTGCAAAGGACAACTTATTTGGAGAACTATTTCAGAAAGAACTCCAACATCATGAGTGATTATTATGCACAGCAGGTGTAAATGAATTATTTATCAAATATGTTTTCATTATTTCTCAGTGAAAACATTGAAGATCTTCTTTCCAAGCACTCAGTTTCAACAATCATTTGTATACAGAGCAGGTCTTTACTTAGACAAATATTTATGGATATGCTTTCATATGAAAAATGAAAGAGCTATTACAAACACAAACACTGTACCATATTTTGAAAGCATAAAGTGAATAATTAGTAAATAATTATGCCATTTGATAAACAATTTTCTTCATTGCTCTCTTTACTTCATTTTATATTTTAACATTTGGCACTTTTTAAAGGGTTTAATATGCATCCCTCTCTCTGAAGAAAAAAATATTAATCTAGAAA